GAGATCTCCTTTTTTTTTTTTTGATGGAGTCTTATTCTATCGCCAGGTTGGATGGAGTGTAGTGGTGCAATCTCTGCTCACTGCAACATCTGCCTACCAGGTTAAAACAATTCTCCTGCCTCAGCCTCCTGAATAGCTGGGACTACGGGCATGCGCCACTATGCCCAGCTAATTTTTGTATTTTTAGTAGAGATGGGGCTTCATCGTGTTGGCCGGGATGGTCTTGATCTCTTGACCTCATGATCCGCCCACCTCGTGCTCCCAAAGTGCTGGGATTACAGGCGTGAGCCAGCATGCCTGGCCAAGTCTGAGATCTCATTTGCTGTCTTTTTACCCAATTCTTGTCTTTTCATCTCTTTTGTTTTCTTTAGAAAAACAGAACAGAAAGATATGTTGTGAATTGTGGATATGAAGTATAATTGCCATGTTCTTCTGATTGTTTCTGGTTCAGATTGGGCCCAAATGGAAGGATGTGGTGACCAAATGCATCAAGGGGCATTATCAGCCCCTGCTGCTGCTTTATGCAGATCCCCAGGGTACCCCAGTGTCCACCCAGGACTTGCCTTCCCAAGCGGAGTTCCAGTCATACAGTAGGACATGCTATGATAGTGAAGATTCAGGTGAGTAGCCTGGCTCTTTACCTCTCCTCTTCCCTTATCCCATGCGATCAAACAGATGGGACTCATACTTAATTATGTGCTTAGCACGTAACCTAGCTTAGAGAAGGATGATTCATTAGAAGTAAGAAAGAAGTGCCAACTTGTGCTGAAGCCTAACTTATGCCATTCTTTATTTCCTTCAGTTGTCAAGAGCTTGCTAAAATCACTTGGCCTCAACTCAGAAGTGAAAAGGAGATTAAAGGATGTTTATTTAGACTGAGATAATGAGTTTGTGAGACTCAATGTTTAGCCTTCTAATATTGGTGAGGATGACTTTTTTTTTTTTGAGACAGAGTCTCACTCTGTCGTCCAGGCTGGAGTGCAATGGCGTCATCACGGCTCACTGTGATTCTCCTGCCTCAGCCTCCTGAGTTGGGATTACAGGTGCCCGCCACCATACCCAGCTAATTTGTGTATTTTTAGTAGAGACAGCGTTTCACCATGTTGTCCAGGCTGGTCTCAAATTCCTGACCTCAGGTGATCCATCCACCTTGGCGTCCCAAAGTGCTAGGATTACAGGCATGAGCCACCGCACCCAGCTGAGGATGACTGATTTTTATTAGCAATTTAACAGTGACTTAATTGAGTTGTTTTATTTGAGCCACTATGAAGCTAGTTATTTTGTTTGGCATGAGATATTTTTGTTTTAAAATTGCAAACGTGTAGCCTGGCAGGGTGGTGTATGCCTGTAATTCCCAGCTACTTGGGAGGCTGAGGTGGGAGGATTGATTGAGCCCTGAAGTTTGAGACTAGACTGGGCAACATAGCAAGACTCTGTGTTGGGGAATAAAAAAATCCATGTCCAGTAGTGATATTCCTCTGCTTATGAATTAGTTGTTCACTTCTAAGTTAATTGTTTAGAGCTTAAGTAATGACTTTCTGTAAAAACAATTTTCAGCTTGATGGCTAAAGTTCTAGGGCAGCACACAGAATCTTAAAATATATTTGAGGTATAACCTAATAGTTTTGGCTTGATTTCTGAAAAGGAGGAAGAAATATTCTTTTACTCTTCTTGATCTAATACTAGTCCTTAGTATAATTTTGAAAGAGAAGATAATTGACTTTGACATCTTTCTTTCTCCCCTTTGTACCTCCCTCCTGCTTGGTACCCGGTGCTTTCTTCCTCCTCTCATACCCCACCCAAACCTGTTCTACCTCTTCTCCAATCAAATATCCATTTGTCCTGTTATGCTTATCTCAGCTAGGTATTCAGAGGGAAGCAGTCTGATTGAACTAATTTATACTAATGTATTTCATATAAATAACACCCCCAATAATTTCTCATAGATATTAAAAATGCTTATAATATCAATTCAAAAATTGTAAGTGACATTCTTGGCAGTATAGGAGAAAGATTCTGGGGTAGGGGAACAACTGATTATGTGTGACAGGTTGGCCTGGTACTTTCCATCTAAATAAATCTTATGTTTCACAGCTTTTTCATTTTTTCTGCTTTTCCCCCGATAGGTTTTGTAAGACCCTCACATTTTTTCACAGTGGCAGGCAAAGTGAGGGCTTCAGCAAGGTAGGGACAGGGATGGGAGAAATTTTATGTGTGTCTGGGTTATCTGAAAGTTGGGTGTTGGGAAGAATGGCTCAATGGTATAGCATATCCTTCTCATACTTGCATCTAGGAAGTTCTTGCCTTATGGAGCTTTGTTGTGTCCATCTCTTTTCCTTCTCTCTGTCACTGTTCTTTTTCCTCACTCTTTGCATATATGTTTCCTCCTTCCCTCAGGGAGGGAGCCCTCCATCTCAAGTGACACTCGAACAGATTCCTCAACGGAGAGCTATCCCTACAAACATTCCCACCATGAGTCTGTGGTCAGTCACTTCTCTTCTGATTCTCAGGGGACAGTCATCTATAATGTGGAGAATGATTCCATGTCTCAGAGCAGTCGGGACACAGGTAGGGACTTATACAAAGAATCCTGCTTGCCTGAATCAATTCCTGCATAGAAAGTCTCCTAAGAGAAAGAAACTGGGGCAAGCCAGAAATGTTTGTTATGCAAAGGCAGAACAGCACAGAATTTGGGCAATTGAATACAAAGAAGAAACACATTTCTGAATGAACAATGATGCCCCATTGGATATACTCCTGTCAATAGCAGCATGTCAATAAAGACGATTGTAATGTGATTATCAATGTGGTTATTCTGAAGTCTGCTTTTCTTCTCCTATCCCCTTGATTCCCATGGTACCCCATTAAACCCTTGTGGTCTTACATGTCATCATATTCTCATGCCAGGCTTTGTCCTAAGTGAAGAGTTTTGATAGAAGGGGCCTATTTATGGGATTGGTGAGGGACAACTGCATGTCAGCTTGCTAAGCTTCCTGAAGGATAGAGAAGCAAAAGAATGAAAGATAATCTATTTGTTATTGTGAGTTTCATACAGAGAATATTCTTGAATTGTTTTGTTTATCTGTAGGAGAATATGCCCATGTTAGAGGAAGAAATCAGTACAAGGAAGAACAATGAATGACTGCTGAGATGAAAAGTTTATTCTGGAAGATAGAATACCTAAGGCATAGAATAGTGTCCATATTCTTAGGGACTGTAAGCATTCATGAGCTCATTGTTTGAGATTGGTGGTTGGTTTATAAGCTGTGGGGGCTTTTTTTTTTAAGATCAAGAATTTCAAAGATATTCAAAACTATACAGAATAGTGTACTGCCCATTTGTGTACCTATCACCTAGTTTCAATAATTACAACTCACAGCCAATCTAGTTTTACCTGTACCCTTACCCACTCCTGGATGATTTTGAAGCACATCCCAGGCACTATATCACATTTTCCATAAGTATTTTAGTATCTGTTGCTCAAACATAAGAAACCACTTTTGAAATGTAGCATTATAACACTTAAAAATAGTAATGATAATTCCTTAAAACTGCTAGGTAACAAATGAGTGTTTAAATATTCACTTATAAATGTCATAATATGTTCATGGTTTATGTGTTTGACTCAGCATTTAAGTGAGGTCTATGCATTGTGATGAGTTGATAAGTCTTTTACATTTCTTTTAATCTACATTTTTTTCTCTATTTTTTATTGCAATTTATTGCTAGAACTAAATATTTTGTCCTGTAGATTTCCCACATTCTGAATTTTGCTGATTTTATTCCTATGGTATGCTTTAACATGTTTCTATGTCCTATATTTCTTGTAAATTGGTAGTTGGACCTAGAGGTTTGGTCAGATTTGTCTTGGCTTTCTTTTGATGACTACTGCATTGATTGTGTCAGGTGTGAGTTTTTTAGACCCTCGTTTTGAAACTGTGAACCAGGAAGAAGCCAAGCCATAGCATGAACTAAGTGTATTTTCCAGTAGAGGCAGATTTGTGTTAGTGGTTTAGGGGTTTTGGTAGTGAGGGTGGGAGGAATGGAGAATATGCCCATTGGTTTAACATTTGTAAGACTTAGTTGTTCCAAGTTATTTTCTTCTCTCTTAAATCTTTCTTGTGGGCAAAGAGGTAGCAAAGGACCAAATAAAAGCAATACAAGATTCCAAGGGGCAACTGATTAAAAATATGTATTCATATCGCTACATTGGTGATACCTGAATATGTATAAGGATTTTCATATACTATCATGTGAAAACAAATTTTTGTTAGCTCTCTATGCATTTGATCTAGGGTTTTTTTTTTTTTTTTTTTTTTTTCATATCTTTAAACTTAATTTACCTGCTTAATTCATCTCTGGCTTCCAGCACTTTAGTTGATTATATCCTTTAGAATCTGACCTTTGCTGTCATCAAATCATACTCATGTATTTGCATACTGTGGGCATGAAGCAGGGCAAGTTACATAAAACAGCCCAGCTCTCCTGGGTTTCCCAGTGATTAATATTAAGGAAATATGAAGTGTAATCCCTGGATGGAGCCAAGTTTTGTATAGCATGGGTAGGGGATAGGAATAAGAATTCATCAAAGTTGAAATGTCCTTTAAATTATCCACAATGAAGGAAAGCTTATAACTGAGTCTTAAAGTCATAAATAAATGTCTTAAAGTCATATATAATCAGGGCTCTTTGGGCAAAGTCTGGAGTATCCAGGATAATACCAGATGTACTGAAAATCAGATTTTACTTGATATTTGTCACTAAATAAATGAAAGGAAAACTCTCTTCAGTTTATGAGAGTGAAAGTATATGGCTACCTAACATTTTTAATATGATCTTTAAAACTTTTGCCTTTAAAAAATTACCTAGAAACATGTCATTAGTCCTTCTGGGTCACTGGGGAAGATTATGAGTGGGATTGAGATTGGTCATTGCTCAGGAGACATTGTAAATTTCGATGCTCCCAGCTTCTCTGCATTTATCCTTTTTTTGTGTGTGTGTGACAGAGTCCTGCTCTGTCATCCAGCCTGGAGTGCAGTGGCATGATCTTGGCTCACTGCAACCTTCTGGATTCAAGTGATTCTAATGCATCAGACTGTAGTTGGGACTACAGGCAAATGCCACCACGCCCAAGTAATTTTTGTATTTTTAGTAGAGACAGGGTTTTGCCATCCTGGCCAGACTGGTCTCGAACTCCTGACTGCCCACTTCAGCCTCCCAAAGTGCTGGGATTATAGGCATGAGTCACTGCGCCTGGCCCTTCTCTGCATTTATCTACTGGGAGGTTCCTACACTGAAATCCTACATTGAGAGTACCTAGGACATAGGTAGCCTATGTCCTAAAGCTTCTGTTCCATGGGTACTCTAAATTTGTGACGCTCCCAAAGGGAGATTAGGTAGGTTCTCGGGAGGATGGAGGTCAGTCTCAGATACCAGCTTACCTCAATTTCCTTGTTTTTTTCAGGACACCTGACTGATAGTGAATGCAATCAGAAACACACATCCAAGAAAGGGTCACTGATAGAACGAAAGAGGAGCTCTGGTCGGGTTAGGAGGAAAGGCGATGAGCCTCAGGCCTCAGGATACCACAGTGAAGGCAAGCCCCTCTGCACTGATTCTCTTTCTTCTTCATTCACTCTATCAAACTTCTGTCATGCTCCAGACTGTTGGCTTCTCCTTCTCCTTTCTGCTCTAAGGACTTTACTTTTTCGACACTGGGGTCTGTTATCCATGATCACTTTAAGATATCTCTATTTCTTTCATTGTTTGTGTTTTTAGGAGAAACACTGAAAGAGAAGCAGGCTCCCAGGAATGCCTCCAAACCATCCAGCAGCACCAATAGGCTGAGGGATTTTAAAGAGACAGTCAGCAATATCATCCACAACAGACCATCCGTGGCTTCTCAGACCAATGTAGGCTCTCACTGTGGAGGTAGGGGAGGAGACCAGCCAGACAAAAAACCTCCTAGGACCCTGCCTTTACACTCTCATGACTGGGAAATAGAGAGTACCAGCAGTGAGTCAAAATCCAGTTCTTCCAGCAAGTATCGTCCAACATGGAGACCCAAACGAGAATCTCTGAATATTGACAGTATCTTTAATAAGGACAAAAGGAAGCACTGTGGCTATACCCAGCTTAGTCCCTTTTCTGAGGATTCAGGTGAGGAGATAATTAGGGAAGAATTGGGCTTTTGAATAAAGTTGATTTATGCCTTTTTAAAACCTGGGTTTTCTGGAAGATCTGGCAGGGGGCATTTTTACTCTGGTGTTGGGTGTTTTAGGAATATGAGTTCAGTGAATAAGCAGCCAGAGGGAGGAGTTAGTTAGGTCTTGATTTTAGGCAAATGCTAAATCTACCTCCTTTTCCATAACTGTCTTTTGATTGGGATAGCTAAAGAATTTACACCAGATGAACCAAGCAAGCCACCTGCTTATGAGGTTAAATTTGGTGGATCAAGCCCCCAGTACAAGCGCTGGGGCCCAGCACGGCCAGGCTCTCACCTTTTAGAGCAGCAGCCCCGACTAATCCAGCGAATGGAATCTGGCTATGAAAGCAGTGAGAGGAACAGCAACAGCCCTGTCAGCCTGGATGCAGCCCTGCCTGAGAGCTTAAATGTCTACAGGTATTATTTGGCCTTTGAACAGTGACATTATCCCTTGCCGCAGCGTGAGCCCTTACTTGGGGCTTTCAGGCAAGTCTTAGTCAAGTGGAGAGATGGCCTTTGCTACCATCTCTCTATGTGCTCTGTCAGCTTTCTACAACAACAGCACCCTCTTCTGGGAGGAAGAAAAAAGGCACTTGAGAAAGGAGAGAGAACTTTCTATTTGAAGTACAGTTATCATGTATAAAATAATTTTTAAAAATTTAGGTTCAGAGGGTACATGTGCAAGTTTGTTATGTAGATAAACTTGTGTCATAGGAGTTCATTGTACATGTTATTTTGTTACCCACATATTAAGCTACTGCCCACTAATTATTTTTCCTGATCTCCTTCTTCCCACCTTCCACCCTACGATAGGCCCGTGTCTGTTGTTCCCTTCTCTGTGTCCATGTGTTCTCATCATGTAGCTCCCACTTGTAAGTGAGAATATGAGGTATTTGGTTTTCTGTTCCTGTATCCTTAGTTAGCTAAGGATAATGAAATAATTGTTTAGTGCTTGCTTTGGTAGCACATACACTAAAATTGGAATGATGCAGAGAAGATTAGCATAATCCCTGCTCAAAGGTGACACAAAACTTTGTGAGGTGTTCCATATTTTTCAGATATGTAGGATGAGCAAGTCTAGGGATCTAATGTAAAACATGAGGACTACAATTAATAAAATTGTGCTGCCTATGAGATTCATGGTAAATGAGTAGATTTTAACTCCTCTTGCCACTAAAGCCAAGAAAATGGTTAACTATATGATATGATGGGTATGTTAATTCCCTTCAGTTATAGTAACCATTTTACTATCTCTATGTATCTCATAACATCATGTTGTACATCTTAAATATATATAGTAAAAAATTTATTGAATAATGGATTAGTGAATTAAAACTTTTGTAATCCTAAAATCAGAGAAGAAACACAAATGTTACTTTGGGATAGTGTTTTGTTATTCTTGCTGCCTTTTTTTTTTTTTGTATTGATGGAGTTTAACCATGTTACCCAGGCTGGTCTTGAACTTCTGGGCTCAAGTGATTTACCCACTTCAGCCCCCCAGAGCACTGAGATTATAGTGTGAGCCACCACACCCAGTTGGGATAGTTTTTATTTTGTTTTGTTTTAGGGTCACTGGGACTCTGTGTTTTATGAAGCTAATGCTATCATAATAGTGATGACAGTTAATTAACACTCATTACACCCTGCCCATAAATCTCAGTTTGCTTTATAAATTTCAGATATCCATACATTATTTTTACTGAGTTGCCACAGAGGCAGTTTTTCTTTTTCTTTTCTTTTTTTGTGAGACAGAGTCTCACTCTGTTGCCAGGCTGGAGTGCAATGGCACAATCTTGGCTCACTGCAACCTCTGCCTCCTGGTATCAAGTGATTCTTCTACCTCAGCCTCCCAAGTAGCTGGGACTACAGCTAATTTTTGTATTTTTAGTAGAGATGGAGTTTCACCATGTTGGCTAGAGTGGTCTCCGTCTCTTGACCTCATGATCCGCCTGCCTCGGCCTCCCAAAGTTACTGGCATGAAAGATGTGAGCCACCGTGCCCAGCCAAGGCAATTTTCTAATGGTTGAGCTGCTTTGAAAGGAATGATTATGTCTTCTACAAAGATGATAACTGCATCTTCATGCTCTCCAAATGTTCTTCCTTGTCCACAGGATCCTGTTGAGTTTTACTTATGAGAAGATGCTACAAAGGTTTAGTAAGAAAGAAGGCAATAGATTTGACAGGAGTATGTGCATTAATACATTCAACAGATTTTGTACATGTACTATGTACTAGATACTGTGCTAGATGCACAAGATATGAGATGAGATCAGATAGGAGAATGAATGGATGTTTCAATTCTTTAGAAGTAGTTTAGCAGAAACTCTAATTATATTACAGCTAGTGCTCGACTTACGACCACGATTGGTTCCGACAGACCAGTCATAACACGATTTGGTCATAAGTTGAGTAGGCTGTGTGCAGGCGGAGATGGTAGTGCTGCTGGAAGCTGGTCTGCACTGTCGTACGCCCAGCTGGGCAACGTTTGCGCTGCCAGACGCGGAGCAGTCGTGGCTAGCAATTGTGGTCGTAAAGTCTAATGGTCGTAAGTTTCATAGGTCGTAAGTCGATCAATACCTGTAGTTTGATGTTTGTTTTTTGAGATATTTAGTCCTAGGAATGTTGCTATAACCCCCTGTCATGCTTTCACTAGACTGTGGGTTCTCTTTTGAAGGGATTCAAGTGCTAAGAGATCAGCTGGGTTGATCCCTTCCTGGCGTCACATCCCAAAGTCGCATAGCAGTAGCATCCTGGAAGTGGACTCCACAGCATCCATGGGTGGCTGGACAAAGAGTCAGCCTTTCTCAGGTAAGCAGGAGGACACTGGATTTGAGGATTAGATTTGACCAGCAGTTTTGTCTGGGGAGCAGCCTTAACTGAGCACTTTTGAAATTAGAGGACAGTTACAGTTTGAGTATTGCATCAGAATGTAAATGTAGAGCCATTTCAGTTGCTCCATCTTTGGATTTATCTGCTTTTTGTTTTCCATCACAGCCTGCCTATTTCTTTTTACTTGGAGAGAGCCCTTGTGGGAGAGAGAAGGGACAGAAATATAGGGAACAGTGTTAATAACAGCTCCATTTTTCAGGAGAATAAATTCTAGGGCTTTCCCTGGTTTAGGGACAGTCTCTTGGGAAACAGATTTCTTATTGTTTAGTACTATGAACTGATATACCGTAGGGATACATGTAGGCTATTTGCAAAACTTGGAAATAAGTAATTAAAATTTATCCTTATCCCTGCCTAAATATCTTAGTCTTACTACCAATTCTGTTGATAGTTACTGAAAATTCTTGGAGGTAGCTAGAAGAAAAGCCTGCAGCAGCAATAAAAAGGCATGAACCCTTTTAGATACGTATACTAAAGATTGTGGACATCTGGCAGAGCAGAACAATGCTAGGCAGATATCACTGGAATCCTGGGCTTGAGTAAATTATAGATTAGAGACACGTGGAAGAAATTTGAGCTTCCCATTGTAATGATACATTTGGTTTATTCCCCACATTTTAATTTATTTCTTGTTGAATAACATTGTTTTGAGAAACTTGTGAATCATGCATGAGACAACTCTCCCTTCTCTTCAGACAGCCATCATTTTTTAGTACACTAAAGACTGAGTCTCATGATCTCCTGAATAGTCCTCAATTCTGGACTAGTTTATGTACACATATGGGTAAGCACCATTTTAAAAAAGCAAAATGAAGTCATACTATACATGTTATTCTCTCACTCAATTTTTTACTTAATTTATAATGGACAACCTTCTAGATCTATTTGGATTCCTCAAGAAAGTTTATGAAATTGGATTTTTACTGCTGTGGACATTTTACAAATTCAAAGAGGTGGTGGAAATTAAGGGTGAGAAAATGACATGCTTGAAGCTCCCCAGTCAGTCAGTGACAGCACCTGGTAGAAAGTGTTCTCTAATGATTAAAGCATGATTATGAATTTAACCTACTTGACTTTACTTTAGCTCCATTAGGCTGGGCACAGTGGCTCACACCTATAATCCCAGCACTTTGGGTGGCTGAGGTAGGTGGATCACGAGGTCAAGAGATCGAGACCATCCTGGTCAACATGGTGAAACCCCGTCTGTACTAAAAATACAAAAATTAGCTGGGCATGGTGGCACATGCTGTAGTCCCAGCTACTCAGGAGGCTAAGGCAGGAGAATTGCTTGAACCCAGGAGGCGGAAGTTGTGGTGGGCCGAGATTGCGCCATTGCAGTCCAGCCTGGGTAACGAGCAAAACTCCATCTCAAAAATAATAATAATAATAATAATTTAGCTCCATTATTTCCCATTTGTTTTACCTGGGGCAAATTATCCTCTTTGTGACTCAGTTTCCTTATTCCTAAAATGGGAGTAATAACAGTTTCTACTTCATAAGTTGTTATTATGATTAAATAAAATAATACATGTAAACATGCTTAAAACTATTTCTGGCACATAGTAAGTGTTGAATAAATGTTCAGTGTGATACCATTGTTGTTGTGAAGCACTCAATAAACGTTGTTATTATCATTCCTAGCCCAAGTCCCATCCTGAATCTGATTATGGAAAGTATCCAAAATATAAGCTCCAAATTGAAGGCAAGAATTCCAAAGGGAAAGTGTTGCAGTGGTCATAAATTCATCAAGTACTTAGTCTTGGTAATGGAAATGTGATGACTTATCTTCTCCCTTGCTTATATTACAGGTGAGGAGATGTCTTCTAAAAGCGAACTGGATGAATTACAGGAAGAGGTGGCCAGGAGGGCGCAAGAACAGGAACTTCGAAGAAAACGAGAGAAGGAGTTAGAGGCAGCTAAAGGGTTTAACCCTCATCCTAGCCGCTTCATGGACTTGGATGAACTGCAGAATCAGGGTAATTGTTGTGAGCATTAGGTTGTGTGTGATGGGGACAGACAGAAAGGTGGTAAAAAACATCTAAGCTTGTTAGTTCCCTGTTTTCTCTTTAGCAAAAAAATTTTTTTTTTTTTTTTCAAATCTTGATTCACCCTTTCCAGTGAGAGCAAGTTCCAGTGGGATGTGACAAGACTGTTGACTGGAGATAGGCACTGATTTGGGGGCACATCTATTAAAAGCCTATAGATTAGAGATAGTATATTGTTCATGAAAAATGCTTCCCATGAACGTCTATTGAAGGTGTAAATAAAACTAGCCTTGAGTCAGAAATACCTGAAAAGGGCAGTGAGCCACACTGACAGTGAGGGGAATTCTACTTGCTGGGAAGAAACATACCCTTGAAATATTCCACCTGGGGCATCAGGGAAGTGGATCTGCCAAACAGGAGCCAGAACAAAGCCCAGTTTACTTTTGATTCCATGACAATTGATTCTCTAACCTCAAAAAATTTGCATGGAGTTTACTTCCATGACTGCCCCATGTTAGATTTTTTTTTCTTCCTAGAATTTATTTTAGGATGTAACTTTGTACCAAAAGAGACTAGCCTTCAAAATAGGAGTTCAGCTAAGCTGAGGTATCTACCTTAAATTGGCCATGAAACCTATATCTTAGTTTTGTTTTCCCTATAAAATGAATATATTGTTTTTGTAATTCAGAAACCCCACTTACAACAAATTGTGCTGAAGCAATATAAAAGTCCAACCTTGTAAATGTAACCTTGTAACTTTGCTGGCTATTTTCTGTTGACCACTTTTCTCCTTTTACATATACTTAGAGAATCTTCCAGAGCTATGTAATCCCGTTTGGGGCAGCTTTTTTCCTTTAATACTACTCTCTTTTGATTCAAGGTAATTGTTGCCTTATATTTCCCAAGACATTGTATTACTTTCCAAAATCAGTTTTAAATTCCTAATGCTTAGCTGTCTCTGTTTGGATAGTCTTTTTTTCCCTGCTGACCTCAAGCTATATCACATTGGTGTCCCAGGTTTATTTTGCTTCTGAAAAGAGGGGTCTTGTCATTTCCCTTCTTTCATTTTTTTCTTTCTCTGACAGTTGGGCAATAGATGAAAGTTGGGAGGAGATCTCACTGGCTATATTTCATTGACAATTCTCCATACACTCAGCATGAGCAAAGAATGAAGTGCTAAGATTCTAGAGGATAAGAATAAAATTTAGTACAGTGATAAAGTACGGCTTGTGTAGATCTCCGCAGAGAACTTTAATAAAAAAAAATGGCTCTAGTCACCACCTCTGATTATAAAGGTTGTATACATTTAGTTGATTCCAAATATTATGAGAGAACTTCAGGTCTGGGGAGTAAAGGAAACCACATCTCTAGAGTGGAACCTGAGTGCCAAGTTCTTCAGAACCAACCTGCTGTTTCCATTGTCTTCCCATTGCTCTCAAAAAGTCATGATGAATTAGGAAGTGAATGTTAGGGATGGGGAAGAGCCTTTCTTACCATGTCCAGCCGGAGGTAAGTGGAGGATGAAGGACATTATGGGAGAAGTGACTCAGACACTGACTTTTTTTCCCTGCAACCTTGTGAAGGCTCACTGGCAATCCCACTTGTAGGTGAACTTACATTACAGCTTGCTGCCAATTTATGATTCTGAGTAAGTAGAGTGAGAATTCTTTTTCAAAAATTTCTCTGCCTGTACTTTGTAGCCTTTTCATCTGCACCTGCTTTGGCATACATTCACTTTGAGAGGAGGATGGAATATTCCCTGCTCTATGGGAAGGTGACTTATTTAGGGGTAGTTTTGGTGAGGAATGGCATGCTGAAAGTAAATACTTAGCAATGCTTATGAAAAGCATGTGTGTGTAAACCAAGAACGAAAGCAGTTTAACTGCCCTGCTTTGAATTAGGAAGTGTAGACCATCTGTGACCAAGAGGTGTACTGATTTTCCAGTTTAGGGTGGTGCATAGAGGACTGGGAGTTGGTGAAGTAAATAAGTGCTATGGATGACTGTCCACAGAATAATTAAGCTACCTTTCTCATAACATAGCAGTGAAGGTCTCAGTGGACATCTAGGGTGTTCTGACACTAGTTGGCAAGAATTGCACTGGAAAAGAGCAGTTCAATTCCAGGCATAAGAGTCTATCCTTTTGCTATATGGAATACTTTGTTCTTTTCTTGAGGGACTTCCTAAGGGTCTTGGTGTTGGAATATGTGGCCATTAATGGCATGCCTCTCTTTCATGGCCTTGGTAACATCTTGGTTAAGGCAAAATGGATGTCCTGTTTGTTTCAGAGAATTATTAATAGCAATAGACAGTTGGATTAAGGATAGACCAATGGCTTAGCAGCAAAGATCTCTGTGTACTGAAGGGAAACAACAGTACACAAGAAAAGTTGGAATGAATTGTAATGAAAATGAAAAGTGCTGGCCCTTTCAGGGAGGAGTGACGGCTTTGAGAGGTCCCTGCAAGAGGCAGAGTCAGTGTTTGAAGAGTCACTGCATCTGGAACAGGAAGGAGACTGTGCTGCAGCTTTGGCTCTCTGTAATGAAGCTATCTGTAAGTAACTCTAACTGCTATGGCTATGGCACTTTTGACTAACTTCACAATGGGTATTATTAGTGTTGTCACTCAGAAAGGATAAAAACAGTGTCTCCTCACTCTTGCTCTCCCAAACTGAGGTCCTTTAGCTGTCTTTGCCCTTCAGATTTCTAAGTGTGCCTGGCACTGTCACTGTGGCCTATGGATATTTACCAGAATAGCCTCAGCAAGGAATCCATAGATGATTTCTCCAGTCATCCTTACCTTCTTATTCCAGGATAAAGTTAGACCTCACATGTGAGATTAGTCTGTTATTTTGCTAGTCACTGACTAGTGAGTTGGAACTTATAGAAGGAAATGACTTCCCAGGCCTGTAACTTTTTGCTTTAATATTTAATTCTTTCTGTTTCTCCCCTACCTTCATAGTATACAGCTCCATAAGCTTACAGCAAGAGACTAAGGCTTAGATTTGGTGTCAGCTTCTTGTATGTGACCCACAAGAAGCTGTGGTCTATAAAGACAGATGCAGGTTTGGATCTTATTTCTGCGTTGGCCATTGGGAAGAGAGGGTTGAGAATAGAGTGTGGAGACCGGAGTCAGACAGGTCAGTTGCAAAGGACAAGAGTGGCAATCTCTAAGATGGAAGCACCAGTTTGTCTTCCTGATTTATTTTAGTTTTGTTTTGTTTTTTAATTTGGATTAACCTGTTTGGCCTCCATGGCTTCCATCAATGTTCCTTATAGCCAGAGGCAGCTCTGTGCCCTGGACAGCATATGCATGGTCCATGCCTTGCATTCCTGCTGCATATTTTGAGTTTTACTGCATATCTTTGCTCAATTTTTGTTCAATTTTATTCTTTTTATTTTTGTTTGTGTTTTGTGTTCTGTTTCTGCTATATTTTCTTTTGCATTTTAGCTAAACTAAGACTTGCCCTGCATGGTGCCAGCTGTAGCACGCACAGCAGAGCCCTAGTCGATAAGAAGTTGCAAATCAGTATTCGAAAAGCACGGAGCCTGCAGGATCGCATGCAGCAGCAGCAGTCATCACAGCAGCCGTCGCAGCCCTCAGCCTGCCTCCCATCACAGGCGGGGACTCTCCCTCAGCCGACAAGGTAGTGCTTGGGAACCACGTTAGTTTATGGACGCCAGGGGAAGAAGTGACCATGAGTACTCTATAGCAAGAGCTCTCATTGTCTTGGCAACTGAAGGGGAGAGAGGAGTCCTCTGAAAATATTTTCTACTTTCAGGTCAGACATACAGTGAAAAACTCATTGTATTGCCGGTCCTTTCCTTAATAATTCCAAGCATGCAAAAAGTACAATATAATAAATAGACCATTTGCCCGCATTTCCTATAGATAACTTTAGTCCTGGACTTGTGTAATAACATGATTATTATATTTATGTATATTATGTTCTTAGACATGGCAATCTGGGCCACATTTCATGTTGTAGTAGCTATTTATTTTGGGATTTCAATGTTTCCTGTCCTTATGGAAGCAGAGAAAGTAGTCTTTCTTGCTCTGATTACACCATAGAGAAGAGACACAAAGGTTTCCTTTGCTTTGCTTCTGTATGGTCAGGACTAGTAAAAAAGTTCCAGTAGTCATTGTTGTAGTTCTCACATCTTAGCCCTTGAATTTGGCTTTTACTTAGAATAATTTAAATAAAAATTAATTTGAACTGTTAATAATTGTGAGTAGCTTTCAAAATATAAATTAATAAATGTTGTAAATTAACTTTTTTTTTTTTTCAAGATAGGATCTTGTTTTTTCACCCAGGCTGGAGTGCAGCGGCACAATCAAAGCTTACTGCAGCCTCAACCTCCTGGGCTCAATGTTCAAAAGGCAAATGTTCAAAAATGGTTAACTGCTAGGCATGGTGGCTCACACCTATAATCCTAGAGCTTTGGGAGACTGAGGAGGGCAGATTATTTGAGTCAAGAAGTTTGAGACCAGCCTGAGCAACATGGTAAAACCCTGTTTCTACAAAAAACACAAAAAATTTAGCTGGGCATGGTGGTGCATGCCTGTGGTTCCAGCTACTTGGGAGGATGGGGTGGAAGAATTGGTTGAGCCTGGCAGGTCAAGATTGCAGTGAGCTGTGATGGTGCTGCCACACTTCAGCCCGGGTGACAGAGCATGACCTTGTCTCAAAAAAAAAAAAAAAAAAAAAATGCAGGTCTATTCGATGCTAAAGCACATGTCCTTAACCATTATGTAATATTGCCTTTTATGATTAGGCTTTCCATATTAGTATATCATATTCTTCATAATGTTATAAGGGTGACTGACTGGGTGACTATACCCTCAAAAGTTTATAGTATATTTTCATTCATATTTAGACATTTGTTTTGAATATAAGCAATTTAGATAGCTAACCGCTTTCCAGAAAACTTATACAACCTGATGTATGTGAGTGATTGAGATTTTATTTAATTCCTTGTAACGTTGAATTTTTAAAGTCAGAAATACAAAACAATTAGTGAGAAACCAACTAAATAGTTAACCCCTACTCCTACTCCTAAATCTCAAGAGAGTCATATTGCTTTGGAGAAGCATCTCAGTGACTAAGAGAACCAAACTTCATTGACTTTACAAGTGGACAGAGGCAGTGAGGAGCCCTATAGGCCCAAGTTTGCCCGCACAAAGGGGCTTGTCCATTCACTGGCTGAGCAGTTCCAGATTATAAAAACATATTTGAAATGATTGATTTCTGTGTAGCCCCATGAGCCCAAATCACCCTGTATTTTGTAAATGTGGCCTGATGGTTCCTTTGGCTGGGCTGCCTCTCAGGACCCCAGGTAGGACTTGCCTCCCTGTATGGCATCCTGGATTTTTGCTGTTTGGTATGAGTGATTTTCAGGCTTTGCTTACCTTCCATGTCATCTGCATGTGGGACTAGCTGATTTTGTTTCCTAATTTGCAAATAGAATGTGATTAGAATGGGACTTCACAGGTAGTGAAGGATATTGGCAAGGGCTCCACTTATTGTTACTGTGTACCTTTGGTGAGGGCATTTAATAAAGAGTATTACCTATTTACCTGGGTGTGAGCTGACTGTGTGCCTTTTCTTTTGTGTTACTCTGAACTATTGACTTTATTGTGCTTGTCTTCTGTTTATTTTTACCATTCCCTGTGTGAGTAGCTAGAAATGAGAATGGAATGAACAGTTCTTTCTGTAAGCATTCCTGTCAGTCAAGGCAGCTTATGACCAACTCTCTCCATTTGTTTCAGTGAACAGCCTATCCCGCTCCAAGTATTGTTAAACCAAGAGGCCCAACTGGAACACTGCACGGATACAGAGTTTGGGGCCAGTTCTTTCTTCCATTCACCTGCTTCCTGCCATGAGTCACACTCATCACTATCTCCAGAGTCATCTGGCCCGCAGCAAAGCTCCCCTAGTAGATCTGCCTTGAAGCTTCTGACTTCAGTTGAAATAGACAACATTGAACCCTCTGTATTCCACAGGCAAGGTTTACCCAAAACACCAGGGTGGACTGAGAATAATTCTCATCACAGTTGGGAGCCATTGGATGCCCCAGAGGGTAAGCTGCAAGGCTCTAGGTGTGACAACAGCAGTTGCAGCAAGCTCCCTCCACAAGAAGGAAGAGGCATTCCTCAAGAACAGCTGTTCCAAGAAAAGAGGGATCCTGCTAACCCATCCCTGGTGATGCCTGGAATAGCCACCTCAGAGACAGGAGATGAACACAGCCTAGACTACAGTCCTTCAAATTCATCAGCTCAGCCCAGTCTTTCCCTGTATAGAGCCTGCCACCCCATAATGCCTGTTGCTTCTTCATCTGTGCTTCACTCCCCTGATCCTGTGCAGAAAACTAACCAATGTCTCCAAGCCCAAAGCCTCAAAACTTCATTAACTTCACAAGTGGACAGAGGCAGTGAGGAGCCCTATAGGCCAGAGTTTCCCAGCACAAAGGGGCTTGTCCGTTCACTGGCTGAGCAGTTCCAGAGGATGCAGGGTGCCTCCATGAGGGATAGCACAGGTTGCAAGGATAGAAATTTGTCAGGTAGTCAGAGGAAGAACTCTTCCCCTTCTGATTCTAAGCCTCCTTTCTCACAGGGTCAAGAGAAAGGCCACTGGCCATGGGCAAAGCAACAATCCTCTTTGGAGGGTGGGGACAGACCTCTTTCCTGGGAAGAGTCCACTGAACATTCTTCTCTTGCCTTAAACTCTGGGCTGCCTAATGGTGAAACTTCTAGGGGAGGACAGCCCAGGTTGGCAGAGCCAGACATATACCGAGAGAAGCCGCTTCAAGTGAGAGATGCTAGGTCTAAGGATCTGAGCAGCAGTACTGACTTGGGGACTTCTTTGCCTTTGGATTCCTGGGTGAATGTCACAAGGTTCTGTGATTCTCAGCTTAAACATGGGTCCCCTGTAACCTATCCAGAGAGAAATCACATCCTTTTGCATCCACATTGGAACCAAGACACAGAGCAGGAAGCCTCAGAATTGGAGTCTTTGTACCAGGCCAGTCTTCAGGCTTCTCAAGCTGGCTGTTCTGGATGGGGGCAGCAGAATATGGCCTGGCACCCACTTAGGCAAACAGGTAAGAATGCAACCAGGGGTTGTGGAGAGGATTGAGGATCATATAAAAGCTGAAAGTGCTGGGTGTGGTGGCTCACGCCTGTAATCCCAGTACTTTGGGAGGCCGAGGTGGGAGGATCACCTGAGGTCAGGAGTTCAAGACCACCCTGGCCACCATGGTGAAACGCTGTCTCTACTAAAAATACAAAAATTAGCTGGGTGTGGTGGTGGATGCCTATAATCCCAGCTACTCGGGAGGCTGAGGCAGGAGAATTGCTTGAATTCAGGAGCTAGAGGTTGCAGTGAGCTGAGATTGTGCCACTGCATTCCAGCCTGGGTGAAAGAGCAAGACTCCATCTTGAAAAAAAAAATTTAAAAAGCTGAAAGCAGGTAAAGATCAGAAGAAGGGGATGTTCTATACGGATGGTATCCCCAGCTTAGTAAGAGGTAGTAGAGCTTTTGACTTTACTCAGAAAGCCTTCAGGGCAAGAACTAGGCATTTTTCTGGCTAGAGTGGAGGAAGGAGCAGAATTAACATTCACAAGCAACTTCCCTCCTTCTGAAGTAAGAGACTACTAAGTATTTGCCCATGGCTTTTCTAGTATGCTGTGCTAAATAATGGTTTACAAGTCTTTGAGAGTGATTCAGCATGAAATGGGGGAGGCTGAGAGGAAAATACATTCTTCTATGGCTTAAAATCCCAAGATTCAGTCTCCAGGTCCACTTTGCAGTAGGATGTCCATATGCTCAGTGTGGACATTTGCAGATCATACTAAACCAGCAATATCAAGACCTTCCCTGATCCCTTTAGGAACAGTCAAGTTTAGTGTTCATGGAATTTTCAATGTAGTATATGCCTATAGGGTAGCTCTTCACTGAGATAATACAGAAGGAAGAGTAGGGCCTGTACCTGAAGTGTACATCATAGTCAGTTCTGGAAATTGAAGACATGAAGAATGTTTTCACTTACATTGATGTACTTAACTACAAAGCCTGAACCGTTTTCCTGGTTCCAACATTAACTCGCAGTATAAATTTGGACAAGTCATTTAATATCCCAGGACCAAGGTTTTACCTGTAAACTGTGAGAATTGGTTCAGTGATTTTTTTAAAAAAGCTGTGTTCTAACTCTAAAATGACATGTATGACATGTAAAATTGAACTTGGAGGCTGGGGGCGGTAGCTTATCCCTATAATCCCAGCACTTTGGGAGGCCGAGGTGGGCAGATCAGCTGAGGTCAGGAGTTTGAGGCCAGCCTGACTAACATGGAGAAACCCCGTATCTACTAAAAATACAAAAATTAGCTGGGTATGGTGCCATGTGCCTATAATCCCAGCCATGCAGAAAGCCGAGGCCAGAGAATCACTGGAACCTGGGAGGCAGAGGTTGTAGTGAGCTGAGATCGTGTTATTGCACTCCAGCCTGGGCAACAAGAGTGAAACTCCATCTCAAAAAAAGAAAAAAAATTAAACTTGGCGAACTTTCTCCTTAGCTTGGCTATGACAATTTCTGTAATGGTACAGGTTCCTTGCATGTTGACAACCAACATTTAATTACAGCTAAGTAAGTGTTTATTGAGTATTTACTGTGTTCCCCAGAGCCTTGGGGGGAATACCATATAAATTTAAGATTTGATATTAGGATACATTCCTGAGGATCCATATCCTAGCGTAGGTTTTGCAATAACATTTACTAAGTGATCTTTAGGTACGTAGGACTAGATGATATGGGAAAAATCTAAAGAATAAGGGAAAGCTGGAGTCTGCCTCAATGAGCTTTCTATCTAAAGAAGCAAGAATACACACTTTTTTTTTTTGAGATGGAGTCTCACTCTGTTACCCAGGCTGGAGTGCAGTGGCACCATCTCGGCTCACTGCAGCCTCCGCCTCCTGGGTTCAAGCTGATTCTCCTGCCTCAGCCTCCTGAGTAGCTGGGATTTCAGGCATGTGCCACCACACCTGGCTGATTTTTGTATTTTTGGTAGAGACTAAAAATAGGATGGAGTTGTTGGCTAGGCTGGTGTCGTACTCCTGACCTCAGGTGATCCACCCACCTCGGCCTCCCAAAGTGCTGGGATTACAGGTGTAAGCCACTGCACCTGGCCACAAATAATTATTTAAAGAATAATAATAAAAATACAAAATACTAAATTGCAAAATTGAACTAACTAGTTGAAAGTTAAACTTTTTTTTTTTTTGAGACTTAGTTTCACTCTTGTTGCTCAGGCTAGAGTGCAATGGCATGATCTTGGCTCACTGCAACTTCCACCTCCCAGGTTCAAGCTGTGGCAGGTGCCTGTAATTTCATGTATTCAGGAGGCTGAGGCAGGAGAATCACTGGAATGGGGCAGCAGAAGTTGCAGTGAGCCAAGATCAAACCACTGCACCCCATCTCAAAAAAAAAAAAAAAAAAAAAAAAAAGGCAAGGCACATTGGTTCATGCCTGTGATCCCAGCACTTTGGGAGGCCAAGGCGGGCAGATCATCAGGTCAGGAGATCGAGATCATCCTGGCTAATACGGCGAAACCCCGTCTCTACTAAAAATACAAAAAATTATCTGGGTGTGGTGGCACGTGCCTGTAGTCACAGCTACTCGGGAGGCTGAGGCAGAAGAATCGCTTGAACCCGGGAGATAGAAGGTCCAGTGAGCCAAGATCACGCCACTGCACTCCAGCCTGGACGACAGAGCGAGACTCCATCTCAAAAAAAACAAAAAATTAGCTGGGCGTAGGGGTGCATGCCTGTAATCCCAGCTACTTGGGAGGCTGAGGCATGAAAATCACTTGAACTAGGGAGGCAGAGGTTTTGGTGAGCCGAGATTGTGCCACTGCACTCCAGCCTAGGCAACAAGAGCGATACTCTGTCTCAGAAAAAAAAAAAAAAATTATTATGTTTAAAAAACAAAAACAGTCTGGGCACAGTGGCTCACTTCTCCCAAAAAGTGTAATCCTAACACTTTGGGAGGCTGACGTGGGCAGATCACTTGAGGCCAGGAGTTCAAAACCAGCCTGGCCAACATGGTGAAACCCCATCTGTACTAAAAATACAAAAAAATTAGCCACATATGGTGGTGGATGCCTGTAATCCCAGCTACTTGGGAGGCTGATGGCAGGAGAATTACATGAACCCAGGAGGTGGAGATTGCAGTGAGCTGAGATCATGCCACTGCACTCCAGCCTGGGCGAAAACAAAAACAAAAAATCTCTTCTGTTACCCAAAATAGCAACATTTTTGTATTGTAGGTAGTTTGAAAATACATAAAGTATCAAAAATCACTGATAATGTCACTCAATATTTTCATAAGCTTAACCTTTGGTTTTCATTTTTAAACATATATACTATATATTGTTTTGTTTTTGCAAAAGGCAGTATCTTTACAGTATATGTATACAGTTTAGTCTCATGACTTTCTCATGTTATAACTATGAGCATTTGCTGTAAAAACTACCTTTAATGGTTATAAAGTATTTTATATAAATGTACTATAGTGTATTTCTTCAACCATCCTACCGTTCTACTATTGTTGAATACTTAGGTTACTTACAATTTTTTTTTTTTTTTTTTGAGACAGTCTCGCTCTGTCATCCAGGCCAGAATACAGTGGTGCAACCTTGGCTTACTGAAACCTCCACCTCCCAGGTTCAAGTGATTCTCCTGCTTCAGCCTCCGAGTAGCTGGAACCATAGGCGCGTGCTAGCATGCCTGACTAATTTTTTGTATTTTTAGTAGAGACTGTGTTTTAGTTTCACTGTGTTGGCCAGGCTGGTCTTGAACTCCTGGCCTCAAGTAATCCACCTACCTCAGCCTCCCAAAATGCTGGGACTATAAGCATGAGCCACCGTGCCTGGCTTATAATTTTTTAATAACATAATACTGTGATGAATATCTTTGCACTTAAGTGGCCACATTTCTCATGAGCTTCGTAAACTTTTAGAAGACTAATAACTAGTTGAATGTTATAAACTTTTTTTTTTTGAGACAGGGTCTCATGTTGTCTTGGCTGGAGTGCAGTGGCATGATCGCGGCTCACTGTAGCCTTGACCTTCTTGGCTCAAGAGATCCTCCCACCTCAGCCCCCTGAGTAGTTGGGCCTACAGGCATGCACTGCTATACCTGAAAATTCGAATGCTGTAAACTTAAAAAAATATCTTGATACATACTGGCCAGTTAGCCTTGAGGAAGACTATACTTCTGAAAACAGTATGAAAGGGTACTTATTGACCCTTAATTTTTTTTATCTTGTAGTGTACAGAAATGAATTTTAAAAACCTAGTAGTCAATCAGTTCTCAATATATTTGTCAGATCAGGCTGAGCTTGATGGCTCATGCCTGTAACCTCAGCTACTTGGGAGGCTGAGGCAGGAGAATCACTTGAGGCCAGGAGTTTCAGGCTGTACTGTGCTATGACCATATGCCTGTGAATAGCCACTCTCCTCCAGCCTGGGCAACATAGTGTGAGACCTTATCTCTAAAAAAACAAAAACAAAACTTGTCAAATCAAACTAGTGTTTATTTTTGTTAGAGGCCCTGGTTTAAAAACTAAGTCCTTAAGAAGTGACATGACAGGCTGGGTGCAGTGGCTGACGTCTGTAACACCTGCACTTTGGGAAGCCGAGATTTGAGGATCATTTGAGCCCAGGAGTTCAAGAACAGCTGGCCAACGCAGTAAGATCCTCATCTCTACAAAGACTGAGAAAATTAGGTGGGTGTGGTGGCGCACACCTGCAGTCCCCGCTACTTGGGAGGCTGAAGCAGGAGGGTCAACTGAGCCCAGGAGGTTGAGGCTGCAGTGAGCTTTGATCGTGCCACTGGACTCTAGCCTAAGCAACAGAACAAGACCCTGTCTTAAAAAAAAAGGATTGATATGACACAGAATAAAGAAGTGATCAGGTGGAATTAATCAGGAAGTAGATGATGAAGGAAAATGCCAATTAGGATCTGTATGTGAAAAAATAGAATTTGAGAGGAGTCCTTTATCTTACTATAAAATATTTACTAAGTACCATATTACTTTACTTTTTA